AGCAGAATGCGATGAGTCCAACACAGAGTCGCCGATGTCCAGCAAGACACCGACCGAACCTGCAATTGAAATCAAAGAAGCCTGGCAATTGTGGGGAATGGAACCTGGTCGCAGGGCGTATGAGAGACCCAACTCAGAGGCACCCGGCAGCAAACAAATTCATGTCAGACATGACATGGCAAGACAATTTTGTTTTAAGTGGTACATGTTTTCCTTATTTCCGTGAGATAAGGACATCATGCAGATTCGGGCGCAAGAGCTGCATGACATGGCAGCCGCTGCCAAGGCGAGACGCAGCCAGAAGACGCAACCGCCAGAGCCACATGAGGGAGGAGACGGGCACCCGACAGAAGATCAGCGGAAGAAGCTGTTAGAGGCAGCCTCCTACGGTGTTGATGAGCGAGAGACTGCCATGGCGGAGACGGGCAAGATTCGCTTGGCCGCCGACGAGGTGCCGGACCCCTGTAGCCTGTAGCCTAAGTAAGTAAGTTGCTTAGACAGCTGACAACGAGGTCGAGCCAGACGGTCCCGAAGACGTCTTCGATTATGACAGGGACCTGGAGCCACAGCAGGACGGGCCGCCAGAAGCCCGAGTGGGTATTGCATCATACGTTCTCATGAAGCAAGTGCACCATTAGTAATAAGGCGATGGCAGTGACTCCAGCTGAACCGCCAGAGCATGAGGACGCTTTTGAAACGCTCGGTTACAATATGATGAGCTGTGTCCGGCGTCCCGGCTGGTACTAGCTGCTGTCAGACTTGCAAGATCTTTTAGCCCGTGCGACGGGCCTCGCGGCAAGATCTTTTCTGCACGGAGTGCGGCGGAAGTTTTTATCGAGCTGATTTGTAGTTCTGTATGACATGATGTAATGGAGAATGTTAGTTAAGTTGACTGAAGGAAGAACTCTTAAGTGAATTGCTCCGTGCAGCGCTTGCCCCCGCGAGAGACCTGAGTGTCTTCCAAGAACGTCGACAGAGTCTCTTCCCGGCTTCCCGTCATAGATAGATTTCAATGAAGCAGTCTTGCCGCCTGCCGGGCAAGATCTGGCTGTGAGTCTCAGGCAAGATGATGCCATAGGCAGGCCGGACAAGAAAATAAAATACCGCATCAATGAAGTCATGGGTTCCCCAATCTGTAATTTTATTCCAGTTCCAGCTCTGCCATGTGGCCTCCAAGCAAGAGTCACGAGTCTGACAGGAAGTCCAGCGCCCGCAACTTGCGCAGCGAGCTGATAAATAAAGCACGCTCTGACCTTCCGTGCACATGCACCGTTTGCGTTCGAAGTTTGGATTCATTCACGCTGGATTCTCTTTGCCGTGCAGGTTTGGAGCCAGAGCGGTCTGCGAGCTTTTACCGGCTTGGCCCTTAGATATTCCACGTAAGCGAGCACCACTTCGGTCTGCGGAGAGCAATTCTTGGCCAAGAGTGTCGGCAGCATGTCTCGGAAGGGTGGGCTTGTTTGGTGGCCGCTTGCAAGCGGCTTGGTTAGGAGACAGCATGGGAAGCAGCGATATTGTTACGCGGCATCCGTCCGCGCTACAGCTGGACCCTCAGCGGTACAAAACACGTCTGTTTCGCTCAGTTCCTGGCATGTTGTGTGCAGTTGCGAAGTCTTCAGTGGTTGAGCGTGCAGGAGCCTCGTTTTCAAACCATAGCATGATGTATTTTTTATAGGAGGAAATGGGCCGACTGTGAGGTCGTGCCCGGGGAGTAAGATTTGAGCGAGCCGGGTCGACGACCGGGAGGTCGCGCCGTGCTTGCAAGACGTCCATCGGACGCCGGCCGTGAGGTCGTAAGACCACCGGCTGGGAAGCTGAGTCGTACTACGGCAAGAATTAGCAACTGCGGTTGCTAGCATTGATATCTTGGTGCGTGCCAGGCTTCGGAACCTGGCTACATGGGCCAGAGCCGGTCGGCGGAACCTGGCCAGATTCGTCAGAGCAGGCAGGTCGGCGGGGCGAACTCTGTGTGTCACCTGATCCGAAGTTCACAGTCAGTTGATGCGAGGTGTAGAATTTTGGGCCAGCGTCAGTGAGTGAGAGTCAGACATCTGAGAGGCTTGCAGCCTTTGCTATGCTGTTGGTTTGCATGGCAGGCAGGGACTACCAAGTGCAAACTGTTCGGTTCACGTACATTGTCAATCAAATTCAGATGCTAGACTTCAAGACCTGAAGGTTTCTGGGTCTGTCCCTGGTGATGTGAGTGGAGTGCAAAGTCAGATTAGCAATGCAGCAAAGAAAGCCTAAACTGATGCGGCGTCTGGCTGAAGTTATCGCAAGCAAGATTACGTCGAAAATCCAGCGTGGGGTAGCCAGCAGCAGTTGGTAGCTTCAGTGTCCCACGGCAGGAAGCTCACCTAGCTTGCTGTCTTCTGCCTGTGGGAGACTCAGAGTTGACTCAAATGGACTCCAACTTCACGAGCTTGCTTGAACGGTTAACGTCAAGAGTTAGTGAGGGGGTCAAAGTTGTGTTATGGGCACAAAGTCGGTGCAGAAACAGTGCTTCATGTCATGCTCATGCTGAGGCTTGCACGAAGACAGCGTGTGGATGCAGGACTTCCCAGGCCCGAGTGTCGAGTCGGGGAAAGGAACTTAGCGGAAAACGTGGTCGGTAAAACTATATGATATAATAATAAAATATATATATATATATATATATATATATATATATATATATATACATAACAGACAGCGGTGCTATTAATCCCGGCCAGAGCGCTGCATGGATACTGTGCGTGGCGTGCGTTGGGCGGCCCGTTTCGGGAGTGTTACGCACTGGGAAGTTAAGCGCACGCATGCCGGGCACGTGCGGCGCGTGGTATGGGCGTGGACTTGAGGACCGGGCCGCGCATGGAACGTGGGCAGTGCGCAGGGGTGCCACATATTAAACAGATCGTTTGCCATGTGCCGGGCAAATAAATAAAATACCGCGCAAGCGGCACGCCGCGGCAGTCGCACTGCGGAAGTGCTTTGCCGCACGAGTCGAAAGTAAGTGCCACGCGGCGAGTGCTGGGAAGGCCCCGCAGCGCGCGACGCGAGTGGCACACAGCATGCGATAGGGAGTGCCAGCGTGAGGGTCTCGCGCGCAACAGCGGTGCCGCGTGGCGTGCGGTGGAACTGCCGCGCGGCGCGCGCTGGCAGTGCCGCGCGGCGCGTGCTCGGAGTGCCGCGCGGCGCGTTGTTCGTGTGCCGCGCGGCGCGTTGTTCGGGTGCCGCGCGGCGCGCGCTGGGAGTGCCGCGCGGCGCGCGCTGGGGGTGCCGCGCGGCGCGCGCTGGGGGTGCCGCGCGGCGCGCGCTGGGGGTGCCGCGCGGCGCGCGCTGGGGGTGCCGCGCGCGGCGCGCTGGGGGTGCCGCGCGGCGCGCGCTGGGGGTGCCGCGCGGCGCGCGATGGGGATGCCGCGCGGCGCGTGTCAATAACAGAAAGTAACACGTAACGCGTGGTATGGAAAGTGCTGCTGCTATTGAGAAAGCTTGTATTGTGTATTGCAAGCTTACTCTTGTTGTCGTGTTGTTTCAGCTGTTTTTGCCAACTGGCGTACGCGCCGCGTGGCGCGTGCGCGCGCCGCGCGGCGGCATCCCCGTCGCCTGCCTTCTGTTTGTTGTTTTTGTGAGTTCAACTTACTTCTTCCTTGATTATTAATCCAGCTATGTGCCTTTCCTTTCTTCTACGCTGCATTGCTACGCGCCGTGCGGCGCGCGCGCCGCGTGACGCGCGCCGCTTGGCGCTATCTGCCTGCCAAAAGCTTCATTTGACTTCTATTCGTTGTGCTAGTCTACTTATTTCTTATGTCTTCGGCAGTGTGCCTTGTGTCCTTCCTCTTCGCGCCGCGTGGCGCGCGCGCCGCGTGGCGCGCGCGCCGCGTGGCGCCGTCTGCCGGCCAAAAGCTCCCTTATGATTTGACTTCTATTCGTTGTGCTAGTCTAGTTGTTTCTTATTGTGGCACTGCGCCTTCTCCTTTCTCTGCGCGCCGCGTGGCGCGCGCGCCGCGTGGCGCTGTCTGCCGGCCAAACGCTCCCTTATGATTTGACTTCTATTCGTTGTGCTAGTCTAGTTGTTTCTTATTGTGGCACTGCGCCTTCGCCTTTCTCTGCGCGCCGCGTGGCGCGCGCGCCGCGTGGCGCTGTCTGCCGGCCAAAAGCTCCCTTATGATTTGACTTCTATTCGTTGTGCTAGTCTAGTTGTTTCTTATTGTGGCACTGTGCCTTGTCCTTTCTCTGCGCGCCGCGTGGCGCGCGCGCCGCGTGGCGCGGCTCATCGGTGCAGTGCAGTGTGCTTTGTTTGCTGAATCTCGAAACTGAATGACATGACACTATTTAAATTAAATATAGTATATTTTACTTATTTGTTATAATCTTACAAAACTCATGCTGCAATTTGTTCTGCATTCTTACAATGTCTTCTGCCAGTGGCACCCGTTTGAGTCCTTTCTCTTGTTTTTGCTTTTCCATTAATTAATAATTAATTAATCAAGTTCTCTTACTCATGAAGCTATGCCTGTCTATTTACCATGCTGTATCGCTGCGCGATTAACTTCAAACGAAACAAACTTTCAACCGTACTGTTAGTAATTCCTCTTTGTTCTTAATTTTAAAAGTAGTTTTAGTACGGCAGTACTTCAAGAGCAAGTTGCAAAGTACGGCAGTACGTCAAGAGCAAGAGCAAGTTGCAAGTATTAGTCGCTCTTCTTTACTTCCTGTCAGGTCCTCGGCAGTCGACAGAAAGGACAGACAGAGCATGGTCGCGCCCTCGGTCAGGTTTCAAGCAGTTGATCCGTTCAGAGTCGCTGACATGTGTTGTGTGTCAAAGAAGCAATTAATTCATCTGAAAAAACACCTTGCCGCCTGGACCACGCAGCCAGACTCAGCTTCAGAATCTGCCCCCCATCTCGCTCGACTCCCATTGCAAGACTTGCCTTCTTGCAAAACAGCCTTGCAAGACTTGCCTTCTTGCAAGAGCATACCAAGACTTGCATTCTTGCAAGAGCGCGCAGTGCAAGATCATGGCCAACGTCGATGCCAACGACCTCATTCCTTGCCAGCTGGCACACCGCTTGCGAGCTTTGACGCAAGATCCGAGACCGGCTCAGGAAAAGGAGCAAGAGCTCATGATCAAGAGATGGTGGAACAACGGCAAGAAGTTAGAGTTTATCCGGGCGTGCGAGCAAGAGGCCCTCTGCGGCCAGTATACCTGCACGTGTGAGCTGGGGTACATTAACGACCTCCATGGCGGTATGCTAGAGTTCCTGATTAGGCAAGATCTTGAGGAAATTTTCGGGATGGCTGTGCAAGATTGCCGGACTATTCGCAAGAACTACTACCTGGTGCTCCGCATCGCTGTCCAGTGGCACACTCCGCCAGGATCAGAGCTCATGTGAGCCAGACTCCAAGCACCGCAAGAATGGCGGTTTTTTGGCAAGACATCTTTGCAGGGGGGTTTGCAAGATCCTTCCAACGACGGCCAGATTCAGTGGTGCAGAGGTGCAAGACACTTCAGGAGTCCAATACTTACCTCGAGCGCACATTAAAGCCTGGTACAGCAAGAAGCCCGCTCCACCGGACCGGTTAATGTGTCTCTGTCGCGTGCGTCGCAAGACAGCCAGATTTCGCAATGTCGCAGACAGCCAGAGAAGACATGGCACAAGCGAGAAAAAGGATGATGCATGCTCTGACTGCCTCGCTGCAAGAATCTGTCCTTTCCTGGAGAGAAATGCTGCAACAGCAACAAACAGCCATTCTTGATCTTTTGCAGGGAGGTCCCCGGTCTGATTTCAGTCATCTGTCTTGCGCTTGTCCTTACCCAGGCCGGGACATTGCCTGGGCCACATACCAGGCCGAGATGCCGGCCACTCAGTCCGACATTCTGAATTCTGCGCGATTGACCAGTCCCCAGCCACTCCTGCCTTTGCATTCCGTCGGCTCTAGCAAGAAGCTCGTTCGTGTTTCCGCAAAAACACAGTGCCAGTGCTTTTGTCCAGACGGGAAACATGTCGGCTGCGACGATCGTCTTGGACAAGCTTGCTGCTGATGCAACATGGGCCAAGAGTGTCCTCCGTCCGCTTTGAGATGCTGTCGTTTTAGGATTTCCTACTAGCGTTGTTTCCAGCTCTGTGTCTGGCCATTCATGACTGCTCTTTCACAGAATGTTTTTCATAGGTACAGAACAACGGCCCCAACCTGCAGAGACACCGAAAGGCCGGGGTTTGCGAGACTAAGCCGTGTTCGGAACTGTCCGAACCTTACCCATAAGGCATCTAAGTCACACGCTCGTGCGAGCTCAGAAGCTTCACAGCACCTTGCAGGAGCAAGACGACGACCGTTCGGAGGATCAGATTTCGGAGGAGGAGCTTCTTTGTGAGTAAGTGTCTGTCCTAACCTTATTCCTGACACAGCCGCGCGAGCTCAGCAGCTTCCCGGCACCTTGCAGGAGCAAGACGACGACCGTTCGGAGGCGTCCTCCACTCTGGAGAGGCTTCTTGCAAAGTCGTACGAGGCTGTTGCTTCTTTCCAATTGAAACATTCTAAATTACACGCTCGACTTGAGTTCACCTTCATGTGCACAGCTGCCAGGGCCTGGAAAGCCCAGAAGCACTGCACACTCCAGAGCCGACCGCAAGAGCCCTAGTTCCAGAGCACACTGGACACTCCCCGCAGAAGCCAACCACGACCACGAGACACTCCCCGCAGAAGCCGACCACGACCACGAGACACTCCCCGCAGAAGCCGACCACGAACACGAGAGCCCCGGTTCCAGAGCCAACAGCAGCAAGAACCGCCCTAGTTCCAGAGCCCGCTGGACACTCCCCGCAGAAGCCAACCACGACCACAGTTCCACACTCGCAGAAGCCAAGAGCCCCGGTTCCAGAGAGTTGCTTTCTACCTGCTCCACTGTCATTGTAAAGACGAAAGCGCCGCAGATTAATCAGGCCGGAAATTGTCCAGAGAGAAGCAAGAAAAGCAGCTTTGCTCATCCAGGCCCTTCCCCAGGATCTATCCCACTCTCACCGTGAACAGTGCCAGTGAGTCGTCCGAGTCCTGAGATCAAGAGTCATCAGCCACAGCAGGTGCAAGAAATATTTCAGTTAAGCAAGATCGCAGCTGCTGTGCTCACGATGATGCTGGTCTGACACTGCTTGCATACAAGCAGGTATATAAAGTTTTAGTTTAAAGATGTTTGCAAAGTGTGTCTGCAAGATGCCTCTCTGCAAGGGCCATGTCTACACTGCCCTTGGAGTCAATTTTGTTGTCAAGTCGTCTCACAATGCATGTGCCGCAAGATACGCAAGAAATCTTTAGTCTATGGAGCCTTGATGTTGGTGCCCGAAATGGTGAACGCTGCGCTTCCTGCAAGAGACAGGCAAGATTTTTTCAGCAGGCGACAGATAGATGCAACTTGACTGGGCGTTGTGCATGACAACAAAAGTGCCTGCCGTCATTCAAAGCCTTAGGGGGACATGCTTCCGGACAAGTCCTGCACTTTCGGTTTGTCCTCCTCAACCTCCCCAGGTCAACCATTTCCTCTTCGGTGTCATCCGCAGCGGACTCAGCAGGATCGATCGACTTCGCACATTAATTAGTCGTTCATTGATTGATGATACAGTGAGTCTTGTGCTTTAACACTTACTTTACTTAATAATACTACAACTGTGCCCACGCTCAAGACTGCCGGTGCTTACTCCGTATCATTTGTTGGAGACACGTCGTCCATCCATTCTGCGGGTCTTTCACCATGATATGTATGAATTGGACAATTGGACAGGCAGTCTCCTCGCCTCTGCGTGGGAAGAGCGACAGGCCTTGGAAATTTTCAAGGGACTGGTTTGGCCAATGCGGTATTTCATTGCCTGCATGAATGAAGCTTTCAACTGGGACAGCCAGAGGCTCCATCCAGGCTAAGAAAGGTCCGAGCCATGGTTGCCCCTTGTGTCTACCCAGATCTCCAGGGCAAGAGCAAAGAAGAAATTATGGCCATTGTTAAGGGTGCCGTGGACGTTGCTCGCTCCAAACGTCCGCAAGAGCTCATGCAAGATGCGAGCGGCAGTCGGAAGAAGAGCAAGGCGCAAGAGCTCATGTAAGATGCGAGCGGCAGTCGGAAGAAGAGCAAGGTGCAGCAAATCAAGGAAGAGCCGAAGGAGACGTGTTCCATCAAGCAAGAACAGCCAGCGGCTGCGTGCAGCGCCATTGTCCTGCCAGACGCGCAGAACGGAGTAATCACCGTGCAAGATGACCATGAGGACAAGCCGCGCTCTTCAAGAAGTGGAAGACACAAGAGGGGGACCAGACCGCTAGAGTACAAGAAGAGGACCTGCTGGTTCCAGGCATTTAGTTTAAAGTATTCAGAACATTAGCTATGCATGGTGAAGAGATGAACATACGTAATTACAGACTTCTTGGGTTTGTCACCATCCTGCAGGAAGGAGTACAAGGCCGTGCAGAAGAGCAAGAACATGCTGGAGTTCGTGGACGCCACTCGGCTTCTTTTGCTCGTCGATATAGGTCCTTCGGCCCGTATAGCCCCTGCCTGCTGTTGCATGCAGGTCTGCTATACGAAGAACCCAACCAAGGAACTGTTGCGGAATATACTCCTGACCAAGACAACTACAACGCGGCCGGATGATGCTCGGAGTCTGGGAGCCAGATCTGCACCATTTTGAATCCCACCCTGCGTGGATCAGAGATTGCTCCAGTCTAGGGGAGATCGATTGGAGCATGGCGCAAGAACTGCGATAGAAAAAAAAGTACCGGACCGGTCCTTCATTGCCTGCATCGTGTCGTAACTACCTTCGTTTGAGATGTTTCGCCTTTGGTCAGGTGAACTGGTGGTGCCTGGAGACGCTGCCAGACGGGCCGGGGCCTCATCTTGCCCTGTGGATTCCAGCAACTCTTTCTAGAAGGTGTCCAGCCAGCCTGCCTGCCTCTCGATGTTCCGGTCCCAGAAGCAGGTGTCTCTTTGCTGCCCGGTGCATCCCCAGGCCTTGCGGCTGCGGCCTTCCGAAGCCGCTGCGTTTCAGGCTGGCCTCGGCAGCAACAGGGGTAAGATGGTGGTATAAGTATAACTGACTAATGCTGCTTCATGCGTATAGTTGCGAGGCGCTCACTTCCGCACACACACATGGCCAAACTTACGGTTCCAACTCACAAATTGGTGGCTGGCTCAAGGCAAGAAGCTGAGCAGATGTCGTGGAATTTAAGAGGACAGTGCTCATAGGGAGAGACGTGTCATGATTCCGGCCTGGTTCCTTCGCGAAGCGCCCGACTCTGGGGTCGGGATTCGCTACAGTGTGGTCCTTGGGTCAATGTCCGGCAATGAATGGATGGCAGGCTTGCGCAAGCGTGTCAGCAGAGAAAAAAACCATCAGCCCAATCAAACATCTCATCTCTTGCCCAGATTCCAGAAAAGGCGCTAGCCAGTACTGCAACGGAGGAAACAGCTCTCAGACTGGAAGGCAGCAGAATCTTGTGGCGGTAACTTCGGAGTGACACGTGTATATGGCCATGAAAATGCCAAAGCCACTCTTGCAATGGAGTCGATCTAATACAGGAATGCAGTTGGATTCTTGTAAGATGCCCGAGGACACGATCACTGCGAGCCAGCCGTCAGCCCTGCCAGAATCTGGCAGACCTGCCCGCTGGCTCGCTACGTTTGTGGTGCTGGCCGTGGCAGCCATGGTGTTTGGCCGCCAGGTCGGCTGCTGGAGGGCTCTGATGCGAAACACACGCAACTGGCACAAGCGGGCAGTCGGCTGGAGGTTTTCAGTTGCAGGTCGACCAGGCACCTGGCACGTCTGAGCAAGAGACAGAGACCCACCGAGCATGTGTCAACCTGATCACTGGCGTGATCAGGTTGACACATGCTCGGTGGCCTATAGAGCCTTCTCGTTGAGCTGCTTGGGAACCGTGGGCCATGCTGGCGTGCTGGCCTGTGATTAGCCATGACATGACAGTATCCAACTGCTGGTGTTGGTGAGAGCAGATCCAGCAATTACCAGTTTCTCATTGCTGGACCTGGCGTTGGTTTTCGGCGTTGGTTTTCTCTTGCAGGTCCAGCCGACGTACCTGATGCAAGACACACAACTGGCACAAGCGGGCAGCTCGAGCAGGCTCTCCTGTCAGGGCAGCCTGCTCGAGCTGCGTGCGCCAGACCTGCTCCGACGGCTCTGATGCAAGACACGCAACTGGCACAAGCGGGCGGCTGGCTGACGGTTTTCTGCTGCGAAGGATGCACGAGGCAGAGCACCTGGACGGCGCAATGTGCATCCCGACGGCAAGAGCTAGTATGCGTCGGCGCCCGACGTCGATGCTGCTTGTATGGGCATGAGCTTCAGTCAGTCTTCTGCCAGATAACAGCGTCGTCCGGCAAAAGCCCAGGACCTGCGAC